TAATAATTAAAATAGTGCTTATATTTATATGAGTAATAATAATTAGTTAATAAAAATGTAATAAATACAATAAGAAGCTTATTAAATGAATTACTGCTATACTAAAAGAAAATATTAAATAAAAGAAAAGCTATGTTGCTAGTAGTAAACGACTATTTAGAATCAATTTAATATATTATAATCTATATCAGGGGTTTTCAATCTTTTTGRATCCACGGCTCTTTTGATTTTGAAAACAATTTAAGTGGCTCCCATACACATTATGATAATAATAAAATAAAGAATTGTTTTTTCTACTTCAGATGCGATTCCCTTAAAAATAATCAGCGAGGCCTCTGGAGCAGCTATGGGCAGGCTGAAAGTCCCTGTTTTATATTAATGTAATATATATAAATGTGAAAGGYCACTCACTGTATATATATACAAAAACAAGATAATATAATAATTAAATAAAGTATTTAAATAAAAAGAAAAAAACGAATATTATATTTAGATAAATATTAACGATTATGAACAAGATTATAATTTCCAAGACACATTAACATTTTAATGGGGTAGTTTAACGTGTAATTTTGGGGGTACTTATGAGTATAAAACAAATATTTATTGGCTTATTGAAATCGTTACAGTTAGTACCTATGCCTACATATTATATAAGCAAACAAAATTTGGTTGCAGACCTATCATTGTATTGGTCTTAAACTCTTAAAATTATTATAACGTTCTTTTTTATTACTATTATTATTATTATTTTTTTGTAGTCATTAACTGTCATCATTTTATCTGGTGGACTATATCCCCAAGAATTTTTGTGTAAAATTATTAAAAGTCTTAGTAAATCTTTAAAAGTACAATTTTCTCGTTATTTCAATGGTTTATCTAAGTACAATTTGAATAGAAATGAAAGGAAGTATAATAATTATGGTTTTGACCAAGTTTAGTGGTATTTAAGTCTTAAGAGTTGTACTTTAAACACAGCTATTTATCTTTTTTTCGATTACTTAMATAAAAATGTAATTTCAAACAAGTACCTAGTTAATAACTAGTTAATAATTTTAGTTTAATAAATACTTAAAACTTACATTATAGGTATTGAGTGGAGGTGCCTATAAAAAAACCAAAATAATGGTCTATTACTCCGCTCATCTAAGTATCATCAACCACAGCTGGCGCTATAGTTTAATCTAAACAAAATAAAACGATTGATTGCATTTACACATTGTGTATTAAGTTGATATCAATCTTAACATATTCCATGATTTTATTAATTTGTTTTTAGAAAAATCTAATAATTATTACATTTTAAACTTTTAAAGAAACGAAATCTAAACTAAACTTAGGTAGGTAGTTGATTGTAGTAGAACATTTTGTATTAGATATTTGATTTTGAGCTAACGAGTAGCGAATACTGAATAGTATAGAGGTCTTATAGATTTCTTCTGTTGATCAGAATTTGGACTGTAAGATTTAGAATTGATATTAAAAT